GGGTTCAAGCTATTCTTCCACCTCAGCCTCCCAAGTAGCTGGGACTACAGGCGCATGCCACCACGCCCAGCTAATTTTATTTTGTATTTTTAGTAGAGATGGGGGTTTCACTGCGTTGACCAGGATGGTCTCGATCTCTTGACCTCATGATCCACCCACCTCAGCCTTCCAAAGTGCTGGGATTACAGGCGTGAGCCACCGCACCTGGCCGCATGGATTTATTTTCTATGAACAAAAATCTTGATGAGTACAAGCAGCTTAAATGAAAACTAGTACTACTGATCCTATGTTTAGGAGAAAAAGACAGTGCAGTGTATCTAGTTACAGACACAAGCAGTGGCTATTCCATTTCTCTTACGTTTCCCAAGAGTAATTTTGTTCAGAAGATTGCCAGTATTTTTAGGACAAGTTTCTTGCTGCTTGTGCTAATATATACTGATTCCCTTTCTGAGCATAATTTGAGTTTTTTAAAATTTCCATTTAACCCTAGCATTTGGAGAGCAATACCTTAATAATTAAAATAAACAAGTGAAATCTGAAATGCAGGTATTTAATTAAATGTTTTTACTACTCTCAAATGTAACACATATTACAAATTAATATACATATAAATGACTAATAAAAAAGGTATATTAATAAAGTATGACGATTTACCTCAAATGCTATGAACCTCCCTGTCCTAAATCTCTTCACTTTAAACTTTTTACTCAGTAAAAATCAGGTATACCCTTTCTAAATAATCAAATCTTCCAGATCAGTGAAATATGAACTTGAAGCATGGGCTATGTCCATATTTTCACTAATTCAGTCTTTTCGAAGCACCTTCCATGTGGTCAGCATTATGTTAGGCACTTGGGCTACTATGTTAGTGTGGTTTCCACCTTTGGAGGTGACATCCTACAGGGGAGACAAAGAAATGAGTAAGCAAATTGAACAAGAAAAAAGAAAAACTCCTTGTGATAAGTGCAAGGAAGGAAATAAACAGAGTGCTGTCATGGTGCAGAAGTGGGTGGTATGGGGGCAGGACCAGTTTATATGGAGTTGCAGAGAAGGTCTCTTTTAGGCGAATCTTAAGCTAGGACCTGAAGGATACCTCTCTAAGGTCGACAAATTGGCAGGGCTGCTGATTAAGCTGCCAAGACATTTTTAGCATCAGAAAACAAATAGAAAATGGTCCTGAGTGAATGCAGGTTCACGAGCTCACCCAGGCAGGCACTCTGCACACACCAACAGCAGACGGTTAGCATTTAGAAGGTGACACATCCCAGCCTATTCACCCAGAAAAAGTTTGAAACAGTCAACATAAACAACAATGAGATGGTTGGATGACCAGCACTTGTGCTGTGAGAGAGAAACTTATCCTGCTGATTCATACTTCCTGATAGTCCAGTTGGCTTACAAGGCTCAGGGTGTTTTAAATGTATTTCATGAGTAAATTATTCCCCCAGTCCCAGGGAAGTCGGATGTTTACAACTATGTAATACTTTCCCTTGTACTTCCAGTTTGTAATTTACTTAACCTAGTAGGTAGAAGAGTACTTTAAAATACAGCGCTGTAATGTTTATCTTTCTGCAGATTCTTTCATAGATGAGTCAGACAATGTGGCAGTTAACATGGCATTGACACCAATTAGGAAATCTGTAATTCTCCAGCATCCCTATATAGAGAATCCAACACTTGTAAACAATAACTCTCTTCAAATGAACTGTCCTTCCTATGTTCACAGTCATGGCAAACAGATTTTACCCCCTTCTAGCCTCTCATGATGAAATACCCCTTTCCTATTGCTAAGTGGATTAAGATGAAATAGAATTGCTTCATTGGCAGGTGGCATGGCATGCTGCTTGGATTCTACTTACCTGCAAAAGTTTTCTCTTCATACTATCATTATGGAGTCCAGAACTGGACCTACAGTAGCTATAACTTGTAAAGGAGCCCAGTGATGGGATAGGAGGGGCTTGGGGTAGAATTCCCATCCTAGAATTCTCTTTCAGTTCCATGTCAGCCTATCCTAGGGGCTGAAATTGCACTATTGGGTTAGTTCTCTTGAAATTTCTCAGGGGATTTTTTAATATATTTTTCAAAATCCTTTATAAAAAATGTCAATATCCCTAGGGAGATCCTATGTTAAAGCATCACCCTAGCAGGACAGCCAGCTTTAAGCAGTGTGACTCAAAGCACTATATACCTGTAGCCCACGAAAAGTCAGAAAAGGAAGGAATAAGGGGAATCAATGAAGTAAATGTGACTGTACTTTACAAACTCACCTTAAGCCCAGCTCTTGAAATTTCAAATATCATCTAAGGCAGTGGTTTCCAAACACTGAAATCATCTGAGCTATTTACAAAACACTGACACCACTGGGCATGGTGGAACACTCCTATAGTCCCAGCAACTCAGGAGGTTGAGTCAGAAGGATTACTTGAGGCCAGGAGTTTGAGTCCAGCCTGAGCAACATTGGGAGATCCTCTTAATTTTTGTACAAAAATATACCGCTACCTGGTTTCCACCTCCACACATTCTGATTTGATATGGAGTGACACCTGGGCATCTGGATTTTTCCCCCCTACTACCACCACCTCCCATTTAACACCCAGGTGATCCTAAGGTGTAGTAATGCTTGAAAGCTTTGGTCTTAATCTCTTACTGGCATGATGTATTGATTTACTTCAGACATTGGGATCCCCTGTGCCAGTGTTTCTTGACCATAGTAGCACATTAGAAAAACCTAAGATACACTTTGGGAAGCCGAGGCGGGTGGATCACGGGGTCAAGAGATCGGGACCATCCTGGTCAACATGGTGAAACCCCGTCTCTACTAAAAATACAAAAAATTAGCTGGGCACGGTGGCGCGTGCCTGTAATCCCAGCTACTCAGGAGGCTGAGGCAGGAGAATTGCCTGAACCCAGGAGGCGAAGGTTGCGGTGAGCCAAGATTGCGCCATTGCACTCCAGCCTGGGTAACCAGAGCCAAACTCCGTCTCAAAAAAAGAAAAAAGAAGAAAAGAAAGGAAAACCTAAGATACTTTAAAAAATAATAATAATAATAAAATGCCTGTGCCCCACCCTCAAAGACTCTCACGTAACTGGTCTGGGTTCACGAAGCAGCTCTGCTATCCCTAGATCTCTAAGTGCCCCGGGTGATGCTCCAGGGCAGCGAATGCTAACAGCCTCAGGCCAAGCCCAGGAATTGCTTTCCCAGGGACTGTAACTCATTCTCTGTGAAGTAGCCAGGAGTGCCAGCTTTCCTCCCCTTTGTCCAGGTTAGGACTACCCCCAAAAGGCAATAAAACATTTCCCCAAAGCTGTCAGGAAACCTGGGGGTGAGGAGGGGGTGGAAGGAGAGGAGAGGAAGAGAGCAAGGGGAAGAATTTATTAAGTCAGAAGCAGCAGAAAAGTTAGAATAAGGAACAGCGCTGGTCCTCTGCTACCCCGGCCCCCACCCACTACAAATTTTATTGACTGGCATGAGAATTTCCTTAGAATGCTTCCTGGAGGTGGCTCAACCTTGGATTTGGTTCCAATAAATTGTGAAAATTATTGTCCAATCAGAACCCCGGACAGTGCAAGCAGCCAGACTGGCAGGCCCTGAGCCTGGACTCCCTGTGAGATTCTGTTTCATGAATTTCCCAGGAGGATTTCTGCACCACTTGGATGCCAATCGCCCTGCCTCCACACCCTCCCCCTGCCCTCTTGGCTCTTACCCCCCACGTTCTCTCCCTCAAAGCTCAGCGGAGTTGGGGATCTTAGATAGGTCGGCAAAGAAATCACCCAGATAGTCTACGCAGGAATCATTCCAGAAGTAATGCCGTTAAAAGGCCGGCGTCTTCGACGTAGCTGGGAGACCCGTGTGCTCCCTTGGCGAGTGTCTGCTCATCCACTCAAAGCCCTGGGCACAGCCACCGTCTCGCACGGGAAAGAGGCCCGCGAAGACCCAACCCGCCGCGTGGATGCACCCATCCCGGGCGTTGGCCACTGCACCCCAGGTCTGTCCGCCGACAGCGCGTCCCTCCATCCTATGTCTGCACTAAACTAAGTCAGCTTATGAATGAAGAGCAGTGCAAACCAGAAGCACTGACTCCGAAGAAAAGTGTCTTCTTTGCACCCTTCTCATTTACGGATGAGAAAACTCAGGGGGGCGGGAGCGGGGAGAAAGGGCGATGTGACTCGGTCCGGTTTTGCCACAGAACGTTTGAGGCGGAGCTCGGTTTAGCTGCCCTTGAATTTCCATTCTGTTGCCTGGCAACCGGTTTAGAGGAGCTCAGCGACCAACCCCGGCCCCTACCCGCACCCTTCCTCTGCCCGTGCAGCTTGGGCTGCATTGATCAAATGTTGGGCCTTTGGGGACAATGGCCAAGGGCATGTGAGCAGGAGCACAGGATGGATTACCCCACTAATGGGAGCTTCATTCCACCCCAAACAAGAGCGAGCCCCGCCCGGCCGGGATCCGAGCGCCTTCCGCGGTGCTTTCGGGACTTTCCTCTGCAACCTCCCCCCAGTGCCGTGGGTACCTCTAAACATACTCAGGCCAAGTTTTCCAAGTTCCCAGCCGCTGTCGGATTCCCTAAAAGTCACGGTGGGAAACTCACTCCGAGTTAGGGAGTAAAAGAAGGCAGTTTAGAGGGAAAAATCGCATTGAAGAGCCCTCTTCCCAGGATGGCCACACTCAGGCTGGACTTTTCTGCTGCAGTTGAGTTAACATGGCCAGAGCTGGGCAGGAGTGAAAAAAACGCCGAACGTGCTCTGGTCGCCCGCAAAGACACGCCAGCTGGGGGCAGCGCTCCCAGGCCTCAGCGCGCAGCCCTGCTCGCGGTGCGGGGGAGCGCATGTGCAGCCCACCGCCGCGCAGGTGGCAGGAGCACAGCCCGCCTGTCCCCGCGTCCTCCAGCGCACGGGACTGGCGCACGGGACTGGTACACCGGGAGCTCCTTCGCCCCGCTGGGGCCGGGACACTGAAAAGGGGGAAATGTTCTCGTCATTAGGTTACCCTAGATCCTTACCCAGGTTCACAAAGCTCATGACCATGTCCGCGTCGTTGAGGAAGGCGCTGTCCTGCGCGCTGGTCAGTGGGGACACGCCGCGGCTGCCAGGTCCGGGAGCCAGAAGGCTCTTGCGGTTGAGCGGATGCGCGGCGCCCGTGAGCGGTTGCCGCGGCTGGGATGAGCTGGCTCCTTCTTGGGGCCAGGGTTGCTGCCTCTCCCCCTCCGAAGCCCCGTCCTCGTCGTCGTTGGCGGACAGGGCGTTGTACAGATCCAGCATGAAGAGGGGCGCGGACTTCAGCTGCCCGGGAGGGGGCTCTCCGCGAGACAGCTGCTGCTGCTGCGGCAGCGCCGGGGGCGGCGGCTCTTGGAGGCCGTGCAGGGGCCGGGGCCGATGCGGGAGCCCCAGCACCGACAGGATCTCCTTCTGCATCTCCCGCTTCTCGTGCGTCTTGAGCCGCCGGTAGAGGAAGCCCGAGGAGGACGACTGCGGCGACGGCGGCGGCTGCTCTGCGCGTCCCGGGCTCCCGCCGTCCCCCAGCAGCTGCCCCCCGGCGGCTGCGGCCGCGGCAGTGGACAGGGGCTGCCGCAGCGGGGGGGGCCCGCAGCAGCTGCACAGCAGTCCCCACCACCAGCACAGCCACTGCGCCCTCCGCCCCAGTCCCGGCATCCCCGCCCGGCCGGGCTGCCCCCGCGGATCCCGCGAGGCGTGGAGCGGCGGAGCGAGGCCGGAGCGCGGCCCCTGTGGCCCTTGGTGTGAGCAGTCCCCGCCACCTCTCGACGGGCTCGCTATCCCTTCCTGGCCCTCAGTCCTTATCTCTCATGGTCGTCCGGGGCGCCCCCAGTTGCCCAGGCTGGGGGGGTGGCGAAGGGGCGATCACTGGGAGAACCTCTCGGAGGGGAGGAAGGGGAGCCCCACAGCCTCGCGCAGGTCTCTAGAGGCGCGCGGTCCCAGCCAGGTGCGTCCGAGTCCGAGCTGCCCTGCAGCCTGAGCCCTGGCTCCTGGGTGGGTCGCGGCGCGGTCACTTCGGGCCTCGGTGGCCACGCACGTGCGCTGCCCCGCGCCCTCCCTCCGGCTGAGTGGGACCCTGGGTGGCGGACAGCGGGCCGCTCACGAGCTGCGGGAGATGCACAGCATCACCGCGGCGCACGCCCCTCCAGGGATCGCAGGGCCACCGTGAGGTTTACCCCGGCACAGGGCCCAGGCTGCGGCGACAAGGCGTCCCGAAATGCCAGTCTATTCTGCGAGGTTTAACTTCTTTCTCGCTCACGAACTCCGCGCCCCTGAGCCCTCGGGCACCGTCGATCCCCCTCAAAATCTCTGCGCGCCGCTCGCCTCTTCAAGCGGAGGCGGCGAGGATCTTGCTTTCCGTTCGGTGCTCGCCCGGCTGCCCAGCACACCCGCTCGCAGAGGGGATGGGAAGGAAGGGAACCAGTTCACCCAGCAGCGGCCGCGGCGGCGGCGGTGGCGCCGGACTTCGCAGTCTCCCGCCTCTCCACGCAGCGCTCCCCGCAGCGGCCAACGTGGGCTTTCTGCTGCGCGCCCGGCTCAGGTACCGCACTCCAGCCCCAGGACTCCCCGCCCCGCGGTAACAGACAGGCTGGCAGCCAATGGAGACGCGAAGCTCGCGGGCTATTTAAATAGCCCCGCCCCCTTCTTTCACCCACCCTCTCCTGAGAGGCGTCGCCTCTGCCCCGCGTAGGTTTCCAGACCCGGGAATTCTTGGAGGCTTGCAAGGAGCCGCGAGGTGCCAAAGGCAAAGAGATCATCGCTAGGAAGAACCCCAATCTGAAGCTTTCTCTTTACCATCATTTAAAACGCCTAAGTGGATGCTTTAAATGAAAGTAGTAACAGTGATTAAATCACTATACTGCCAGAATTGAGGAAGAAAAGAAAAATGATAGCTTTTCCATCCCTTCCTTAGTTTCTCTGATTGATGTAATGTAGGCGTTTAGCGGACACGTGGCTTTCCACGGCAGCTGCTGGAAGTTGGGACACACCCTCCGGGAAGGCTACTCACAAACTGGCCACAGAGAGGGCCACAGGTAACCCAGGCCAGCGTCCTGAGGGTTTGGGGTGGGATGTGTTGAAATCTGTTCATTTGGGCTTTGGTTTAGCTTCTTAAGCTAGTACCCAACAGAAAGAGAATGTAATCAGACAATATATTAGAAAAGCCATCCCCTATCTTCTTGGAAATGTCTCATTGCGTCTCCAGCTTATATATCAATGTTGCATTTTAATAGACCGAAATACAATGTAGTTTATATGATGCAAGATAAAACTTGAGGAGAGGTGATAAAGATAACTCCAGGAAGAAGAGCAGGGGCTTGGCATGCATTCCGAATGGTCAGGATAATAGACAGCGTCCTGAAACACAGGTTGCTGTGGACTTTAGACAAGATAACATCAACACCAACACCATATGCCAATGAGGACACAAATTCATTTGCCTTCACCACACCCAGGAACACCCAGTCATCTACGGATCCTAGAAGCAAATTCACTCAAAATATGAAGTTTCTTTAACCTGGTGAAAATTGTGAGTAGAAAATAAAAACTACAATTTTCTAACGTGCCAGCCTTAGTCCACATGGTCCCAGGCATTTGAGAGTGAAGTCAGATAGATTATATACTGTGGCATTCATGAATTTATGAGAACATACGCTTTCTGCTGGTCTGAATCATAAGTATTCCGATCTTATCTCCAAGAATCTGTTTCTCATGGGTAAAGGTCTTTACCTCCAACCAACCACCAGCTCCTTCTTTCTAGTTTTGTCTTGGCCCAGACACAGGTGGTCATTTAGAAGAGTCTTTACTTCTACAAATATCAGATAGCCATTAATTTCAGGCCACACAACTTAGCACCCCTGAATGCCAGTCTTTAACCATCTCTACAGGGATTTCTTCCATCTGAAAAGATAATACAATACTTCATCTGGGATGCCAGGACCTACAGAATTCAAGAGCCCCATCACTTCCTTTTTCTGTATGGAGCATATCAAGGACATATATTCATTGCAGTGCCCCACAGCAGCCAAGAGCTCTCCTCAGAAGGTATGAAATCCCAGCAAATACACCTACGCTTCCTGCCAAGAGCCTCCTTTTTTAAACCTAGTCGCATCTTCTTAGTAAGACTTCTGGTGAGACGCAAGCAGACTAAAAGACGTTTCCACCTATGAGGGCAGTGGGGGAAGACACAGGAAACTAAATATTTTAAGCATGGGCCAGGGTGCCTTGGTGGGGCTGTGCCACTTAAAATGCAAAACCAAGGCATCACCCACCTATTGTACAGGTTGAGCATCCCTAACCCAAAAATCTGGCATCCAAAATGCTCCAAAATCTAAAAATTTCTGAGAGCTGACATGATACCTCAGATGGAAAATTCCACACCTGACCTCATAGGATGGGACACTGTCAAAACACAGTCAAAATTTTCATCCACAAAATTATTTAAAATAATGCAATTACCTTCAGGCTATGTATATGAGATATATTTGAAATATAAATGAATTTCATGTTTAGACTTGGATCTCAACCCTAAAGTATCTCATTATATATATATTATATATATATACACACACACACACACACACACACACACACACACACGCCATCTCTCCCTTTCCTTAGACACTTGGAAATAGATGGGTTTGTATGACATGAGTCTAAACTGACTATCAACTAAACATCTGAGCAGCAACCCTGATTCAGGTCTGTCACAGGCTCCCCACCCCACCAAGATGGAGTCTCAGTTTCTGTCAAATGGGGCTGGAATGAGGAGCTGTTGAGGTGCCTCCAAGTGATGAACATGAGAATCTGTATCTCCCTTAAAAGTCAGAGGAAGCCCCAGAAATTATGTGCAGTGAGACACAGTACAGTAATCAGAAGGACAGTGACATCCAGCTGAGGATGTGCTCCTCTTCTGTCCATGACAGCTCCCAACATGTGCACGCCATGTTTGCAGGAAACATGCAGGCAAGCCCTTGTATCCACTGGGATGAAGGGGACAGGAAAAGAGATACAGTTCAACTAGGATTTTAATAACCTCAAAATTGGGACTACTGTTTCTCCAAGCCAATTGGATCTCTAGATGCATAAGAAACCTCTAACCCCCACCTTGTCTACTTTCTGCTACTCAGACCCTTCCCCATCAGACATCCCAGTGCTCCCCTGGAAGTCTCAGGACAGGGAGCTAGAATACATCCACATGTGATTCAAGAGGAGGAGGCATGGGTGGGTGGAGTTGAAGGGACAGGAGCAGATCTGGCTTTGAAGTCAGCTGGAATGTATGAACCGACTTGAGAAAATTAGAGGTAACTTCGCCCCCTGCAGGACACCAAAATATCACCGCCCCTTCTCTATGGGCCCCGGACAAGTTTCATTAAGTTCTCTGTGTTTCTAAAACATCTGGGTGGAGAGAGGAGGAATTCTATCAAGAAGCCGGATGTGGGAGCCAATCCACATCAAACATCTGGTTGTTTGGCTGACATTTCATGCAGATGGCTTTCAGTTTTCTGGAAATAGGTTGCCTGTCCCATGTCCCTGTCCCACTTAATGAAGAAGTGAGGAACCCTCACCAAAAGCACAGGTTCATCCCATACCCTCAGCGATAGTGGGAATAGAAAAGGAATTCTGTCTACAAGTGTTTATTAAGGCATCATGTAAGTCACACATCAAATCCCTTAAACCTGTAGTTGTCCTTGTTCCTTATATATTATGAGGGTTTCTGTTATACGTTTATAACACACTTGACCAAATAGTTTCTATTTTGTAAACATGCTGTTTATTAATTTGACATATTAAATGCATATTCTATATTACATTACTAAATAAACTGCAACTTCAGTCTTGTATTTTATATTAAATCATATACTTTATATATATATGTCTCTACTATATATATATACTATATATATGTATGTGTATATATATATATATATATATATAAAAGCTGGGCATGGAGGTGTACACCTGTAGTCCCAGCTCCTCAGGAGATTGAGGTGGGAGGATTCTTTGAGCCAGGGAGGTGGAGGCTGCAGTGAGCCCAGATCCCCAGATCACACCATGGCACTCCAGCCTGGGTGACAAAGCAAGGCCCTGTCTCCAAGAAGAAAGAAAGACAGAAAGATGAAAGAAGGAAGGAAGGAAGGAAGGAAGGAAGGCAGGAAGGAAGGGAGGGAGGGAGGGAGAGAGGGAGGGAGGGAGGGAGGGAGGGAGGGAGGGAGGGAGGGAGGAAGGAAGAGAGAGAAGAAAAAGAAAAAATCTTGTAAACTGTGTGGTTGTCATGTTTAAAACACTGAGGTGCAGCCTCCTTGAATTCTGAAGAAGTTCCACTCCAAAGACCAATTTTTTATCTTTACTATTAGCATAAGGACTCAAGTACTTCTTAATGTTAATTTCAAAATATAATAATTTGATCAAATTTTTAAAATATCGATTTAGAGTTGAGTGAAAAGAAAGTAGGTAAATGCTTGCAGAGTATGAGAAATGAAAATTTGCAAGTGAAATGAGTACTGCTCCTGAAAGCTACACCTGTAAGGCAGCCTTCAAAAGTTGTGCCTCATCCAAAACTCTGTGGTAACATTTACATTCAGTCACACTCTGCTTTCACTGTCTATTCAAAAATGCTGGGCATTCACACTTCAAAATATCATTCAAGTCATCATATTTTCCTACTCATGAAGGACATCTGGTGGCAAAGTGGAAAACTAATACATAAATCTGTTTCCAGAGATTTTTTTC